TACACCATCAACACAGAACGTGAAATGTCACTAGTACTTTCCTAAATAATTGCTAGTGAAATGATGAATGAAATCAGATCAAAATTTGGATAGTGGAGTGGAAATAGGAAAAAACATCGATGGTCTTGACCGATGTTATAAGAAACCAAGAGAAGTACCACGAAAAAATTACGAACGGATTCAAATTTCCCTTGGAACCTCGTATATCTTCATGGAATCTATGAATGTTTTAGTTATTATCACAAATGCATCAAGTGTATGAGATGAAAAACATGAAATCCATAACGAAGTTCGCAAAACAAAGTTTTACGAAACGATGAAATATGTCTAATACGAACTTTTCCGGAAGCTGAAAGTGAAAAAAATTGTAAAACTTGAAATATTTCTGACGATATCAATAGAACTAATATCCTTCATCATAAAGTTTCTTTCATTATCCATCATAGAACAGTGTTTGATCTTAACATTGATCTTAACGAACTATTCCCGGGTGCTTGCTGAGTGAGGTAGCTATATATTAAGTGAATAAACTCGTATACTTTGGGTCAATTATGATGTTCATCTGAACAATTAATTGCTCAATGCAACTTTAATTCATGTTAATGATTATAAAAATGCCCATCGTAACAAGGATATCACATAAATAATCAAAATCAAACTGAAAATCCAATAAGTCTACTGAACTTTCACTTAAGATGTGACTTAAGTTGAATCAGTCAACACTATATCATTTTGCTAANAATATAGTATATTAGCAGTTAAAAACTGGTTACTAGAAAGTGATTATCCATATTAAGACAAACTGAGATAAAGCAAAAAATCTTTAGTAATAACTGACACAAGTTTTTTACTGAATATAAATGATAATGAATACAATTCAGTTCGATGTGTCATATTTGATATGAAATGAGAACTGTGGAAATGGCATCTATAAGTGATATTCACTCTGAGCTCTTCAACAGTACAATAAGATCAACAGTTATATAGGTGATAATATAATGAGGCATAATTGAGGCAATTGAGGCAAAAACAGTGTACACGGAAACGCGAGCATTGTGGCCAGCAACGTTACTAACGTTTGATAGCCTGCTTGCCAATCCGGGTAATATAGGTGATAATATAAACGATAAAAACTTTCAACAATACAATTATAGGTGATAAGAAGTTGACGAGATGAGTGAAAAATTCATTGAAGAGTATGCAAGTGAACCTCAGAGCAGTATAACGTTGGATGAGGACAAACACGTCAGAGCAACACCAGCAGCTTATCATCCGAAGCGACGATGGATATCGTCACTGTTAAGAGCAACTTTTTGGCGATCGTTATTCATAGAGATATTCTTACCGCGAGGCTATCCGCACTCTGTTTCGTCCGATTATATCGATTATCAAATCTGGGATACCGTACAAGCGTTCGCTAGCTCGATGACTTCAGCGCTGGCCACCGAGGCAGTACTTCGAGGAGCTGGAGTTGGAGATCAGGTCAATGAAAAGTGAAATAACTGAAGAAACATTTCATTGTACAATTAAGCCTTTTCATTTGATTTTCTGCACATTATTCAGAGTAATCGAAGAGGGAGAGGCCCGATATGATGTGAGGGAATATGGGATGAGGGGGGAGGGGTGGTGCAAAAATATTAAGGACTTTCCTTTCTAATGAAGAAACCAAAGTCTTTTCCAACGAAGCAAAACCAACAGTATTGACGAATCACATTGAATTCCGTGTGATTCGATCTTGTATTTTGTGAAGTAGCTTGTGAAATCATAACAACTGGTAGGCAGACTTAATACATGGATTACCTGGATTCAGGTATTAAGTAATCTAATAGTAAGTAAGTAAGTAATCAGGTGTTAATTTATTAACTAATAAATCTACAGACTTAATAAGTTTAGGAAAAACTTTGTATGCTAATAAAGATAAGAGTCATAACACTTGTAGTAGATCCAACAGCCAATATGGCCAATTCAGAAGTAATGCATAGCACTTGCTATATTAACAAAGATAAAATTACTACTGAGTATGGCACTTTTTAATACTGTTATTAATACGATATATTGTTTCATTCAGTCCGCAATCAGAGCTCTTTGTGAATATAAAAATGCCAATCAGTATGTTCTAAGTTACCAATAGTATCATAAAAATTAGTACTTTCTTAAATCTCTAGAATCCTTGTTCTCACACAGCTAACAGTACTTCTGAAGGAAACCATATGTACAACTCTCGAATACTTATTATTTTGAATATTAAGCGATCACCAACATCATTTTGTCTAATTGTGAGATCGAGCGATGTGTAAATGTGAATGATTTTTGTTTTTAGAATGCATCAGCGTTAGCCGCAACGATAACATGGTTACTTCGCGATGGCTTAGGTATGATCTCAAGGATTTTATTCGCATGGTCACAGAGCGCTCAATTGGATGCTGACTGCAAACGATGGCGTTTAGTGGCGGATATGCTGAACGATTTGGCATTCTCGATTGAGCTTCTGGCAGCGATCTTTCCGAATCTGTTCACTCTATTGGTTTGCTTCTCCTCTCTGGCCAGATCAATTGTGGCCGTGGCCGGAGGTGCTACACGAACAACTGTCGTGCAACATCAGGTGAGACTTCAACTCTGAGGTTATATTCTCCTGGATAACCCTGGAGAATGCCTTTACCTTTAGAAGTTTATGATATCTGCATTCATGAATTTACGGTTTTTGGGGTGGTTATCAATGATGGAACTAGAAAACAAACAAATTATCTTATTTCACTGAAAATTCATCTTAAGAGATATTGGTTTTCTGGTGTTGATCATGAAAATTGGCTCGTTGCAGGCTCGTGCGAACAATGTCGCTGACGTTTCGGCGAAAGATGGATCGCAAGAGACACTCGTCAACGTGACAGCTCTCGTTTGTAGTCTAATCTTTTTGCCTTTAGTTAGTGGACATACACTTTTGGTGTGGATATTCTATACGATATTTACGGCCACACATCTTTTCGCGAATTATCGAGCCGTGAAATCGTTACACTTTGATACGATCAATCAAAAACTGCTCAACCAACTGACAAGGTATCGTGAACTCGTTGAAGTTATTGTTGTGCTTTTCGTCAGAACAGTAAATGTCCATCGATATTAAAGTCGTTGTTTTCAGGAAATTCATCGCCACTGGTGATGTGTGCTCAGTGGAAG